TAGACCTCAGTGCGAGGCTCTGGGGAATAACTACAGAGTTTGTGGGGTTTATTCCCCAGAGCCTCGTACTCAGGTCTATTGTTTTAGGCTGAATTTTAATATACCAAAATTGGTCTATTCTTCATGTAAACTCATTTACCTCCTCCCAAGGGCTCGTTATCCATCGTGGACACTCTTTAAGTTCACATCGTTCTGAAGTTGGTGGTTTCGTTCCTGCGTCACAGCTTATATCTTTATCGCTGCACTCCACTGAACGAATCTTAATTCCTGAGCCACAAGTCACTGAACACTGTAAATAACAGTCCGTCATATATGATTAGTGTTTGGTTCTAAACGATTTAAACCTGCATAGGAAAGAGTTTAAAATTGACGACATACTTTGCCCCAGTCTCCTTTCATCCAATACGGACAAGGTCTGATGTTACAAGCTTCTCTAGTTGCAGGTTTGAGTTTCTCGTCACATCCGGGACTCGACTGGCCATTTGCGAATCGGCAGTCGACACTTCTCCGCCTTTGACCTTCTCCGCAAGAGACTGAGCACTAGAACCAAGAGAATACAGCTAATCAGCAATAACTTCACATGGTACCTTGCTATACAATTTGTCTGTGATTTCCTCTGAGCCTCGTTTCGTTTCTGAGGCTATTAATCATTGATTTTTTGGACATTTTCAGCTTCGGGTAATAGAGTGTTTTCACTCACGTGACCAGTAGCCATGCAAATTTATTGGAACAAAAGAAAGGGTTTACATAAGAAAAGAATTTAACTACCAGCATTGTTTTGCCACACCAACATGGTCGCCGTTTCGATGTTTTCGGACACCAATATGGCTGCCTTGACGTCATTTGACAACACTCTAAATGACTCCAGTGGTAGCTTACTGTAAAGATATCATGTGCCTTAATGATGACAGACGAAAACTCAGTCCGTGAAACTTACTTCACTCCAGAAATCCTCATGCCACACAGGACAATCTCTTAAAATGCACGCCATAACGGTCAACGGTCTCTTGTTTACATCGCAGTCACTACTGTTCTGTCCGTTACTTAATCTGCAATGTACTTGTCGATACCTCTCACCCAGGCCACATGTAACAGAGCACTTAAAGGAATAAACTAAAATAAATTAGTCACAGAAAGGGAGTTTTGCTCCCGAAGTGTACTTTGCATTGAGTGGATTGATATCTTAGTTGTAAGTCAGGGGCATATTCAAGGGGGGAGGGGGAGGG